CTTTTGAGGACGTAAAAGACAAGCTTCCGCAAAAATATAAAGGCAAGAGTATACTTGGGCATTATGGCTACGCAAAAGGAATGGAAAATAATGGCAAACGCTCTATCTGTAGAAATGTAGACCCGCTGACATATGTTCTTAATCTCTTGGTAATTTTACAAACAACAAAATCAACATTTCGTATTAGGGTGAGAAGTGAGATCTCACTCAGTTCTCCTTTTTATTATCGTCGTCTTCAGAATCGCTATCATCTTCTCTAACATCGTCCACTCCAGCGCCCTTTGTAGAACGATAAGCCACCTAAAAGAGAGAGAGAGATATGAAACTAGAAAAGAAAAGTGGAACCCACCAAAAGGATAAGGTAAGTCCAATAGATATGAAGAACCAGCAAAGTCGAAAGCATGACCATTAGCAAACGGGGTACGTGAGGGCTCTGGGATATGTTGGACCATTCATAGTCAGTCTGAAACTTAATGAGCAAGAGTAACAAGTTCCATTCTCACCTGTATAAGGGACGGGGCATCAAACCAAACAGACCACAGCACCCAGAAAGGATAGTACACGAGGCGAGTACTTATCCAAACAAACAGGAAAATAACAAACGAGCAGTTCACAATCATTTTCCATCCGGCATATCGGACAATTTTAGTTCCTTCTCTGGAAAGAAAAATTAGTTCAGAGAGAAGAAGTCAAACTAACATGAAAATATCTGCGGCGTCATGACTGAAAAGGATCAGAGTTCCAATACGGACCATATTCATCGACCAACTGATATAGAGAAGTACAATGGTTACTGCATGATGCAGCATCATTTGATAGAAGTCTCCACGACGAACATCGAAGAAAAGTGTTCTTAACCAAACAATTGTATTTCAGAGAGACTGTGCGATAATCTTACCCATAGAAGAGTGACCAATAGAAAGAAGCTTCAATGATGTAATACCACCACACAGATCCTGGAAGGTGATGGTATGGCCAATCCCTCCAGCATTCTTTGACGTCTTGGAACTGAGGAGTATCATAGAGGACATAAAATCTAGAGAGAATTTATAAAGCGTAAGTCAGTTCATGTTTACCCTAAAGTAAAGGCAAATACATAAAAACAGAGACGCCATCCACATTCAGCTACTCTTTTGAATTTTGAATTTCCCATAAAACCTCCTCAACCATAAATAACTTTAGGTTTGCATCTACGTACTCTCTGTTTACCTCGCACGTGTTCTACAATCCGGGTGCATGGGTTGGCAATCCATCCGCCCAAATATCCTATAGGAACAAATACAAACGATTCAACCATAACCCTAAGAATCTAAAAGGGATAAGGTGATGAAGAAGAAGCAACATACAACTTACTAATAATAAAAAGCCTCCATATAAGGTATATCTTAACTCGTGGATTTGAGGATATGTGATAGTTGCATTACTTTTGATATCATGCCATTTCACTCCAGCAGGAAGCCAATTCTGATCATTCCAGAACCATTCAGCCAAAGAACCCATCGTTCTCTGAAACGATTAAATTGGAAAAAGAAGAAACTCTCATAAAACAAACAAATAATGAGACAACCGCAACGTATCGAATGGTACGTTTGTACAAACAGTAGTTATCAGAAACGTGTTAAAAAGAGTGATCAATTGGGACAACGTGTACGTTTCAACAATGCGATAACGTACGAATGGTGAATTTGAATGTGATAGCGATTGAGACAAAAAAGAATCAAAGAATATACGTGTAGAAGGAAATCATCAATCATTAAAGCTTCAGTAAGTTCCAAGAAATACCATTCTATACTTAAAAGATATTTCTCCAGACGGGACCAATTTTCTTTCTCATTCAAAGATGATTTCCTCAGCTCGGATGTGCAGTAATGAAAGCATTCTTGGTGTTGTTTAAAGAAGCAAAAGCCAAGAGGTCACAAATAACGGAAACGATAGAGAGAAGCCAATTGAGGAAGTCAATGAGGATACAGAAAACTTCCATGAATGTTGCGAGTAATAAAAAAGAAGACGAATGAGAGAGGATGAAAGAAAGAGGAAAAGAGAGAGAATGAGAAGAAAAAGATGTGACGTCGGCCTTCGTAAGATAAAAGGCCTTGGCAATGAATAAGAACAGTCCTACCAGAATAATCTAACGTAATCTATGGAAATAACGTGGAAGGGACGATATGACATAAGGTAAAACTGATAGCTTTTTGTTATGCAAATGCTACCCCACCATTACAGATTCGTATGAAAAGGGGAACAACATCGATAACAGTTCAGATAACGATGTTGGTTATTGTGAAAAACAAGAAAATCGACAATGACTATGAAGCAGAAGGAGTATAACAAATGCATAAAGTCAGACAGCACCATTTGACTCATTTGCTGTTAGTCAGAACTGAATTCCCAGTACACTCTAATGGCTTCAAAAAGAATACGAGAATATGGACAGCTGACCATTGGATGGATATTAATATGAAACAGACCACATTTCGTTGAGGCAAATGCAGATAGAGAGAGTGAGAGAGAGAGAGATGAGAGAGAGTGCGAGAGATGAAAAAAACACAAAAAGAAATGGAAAAATGGAAAATCTAAAAATCAATAACTGTCTGACTCTTGAAATCTGACCATCACCGCCACCCGCATCACAATTATCATCATCATCATCCGCAAAACGCACTTTCAGCTCTGACCCGTCGAACGGAAATGAATTTCTCGAAGGAAGATATGAATCTGTGTAGAAATAGGAAAATAACTCTCTATAGAAGAATCCGGTTAACAAGGTCCTATAAAATGTCTGGGTAAAGAAGAAGGTACGGAAACGTTTCTGAGTGAATGATGTGAAATAAATTTTTTTTTCGGATTCGATTTCTTATCGGCTCTCGATTTCGGCGGCTATCATTTGGAAAGAAAACATATGAAAAAGAAAGATTGATTGATATAGCAGGTAAGAAGATTATTCACCCATTCAGTAAAGGAAATCAAACTATTTGCTGATTATATGAAATTGAATAAAATATAATTAGCTTTGGCTTCGATAACCGCCCATTGCCTGCTGATTCCATTGGAACGACTAGAAGATAGCTGTGAACTTTGGAAGTGGAGAGAAAGAGAGAAAGAGAGAAAAAGAAATGAAAGGCTCGGGCGATACGTTGCTCCAAGCGCAACAAGTTCAATAGATCGCTGCCAATTTGAAAAATGTACTTACAGACCAGCAACGTTCATCAACAACACACTTTTCATTTCTTAACTATCAGAAAGTGGGATCGGTGGTATTTCCAAACTGATTACGTGGAAAGTTAGAGAGGAATGTGGGATTGGCTGTCAAATCTAGCTTACCACTTATTCATAGTATCAATTCTTGTATATACTTTAGTAAAATGCGAAAATAAGGGAAAAGTAACCAAACGAGTCAATGCCATGAACCAAGATGTGAAAGAAGTTGGGTCCGGCTTATATGCAAACAACCTCATTTCCTATTTCAGATTATGAACAAGACGTTTCAAAAGGAAAATTTCACGAAGCGTTTCAACCCCAAGAACTCATCCAGAAGTACAAAGAATTCTGCAAAAGAAGATCACACACAATCTGATCCTGGGCCTCCTCGAAGTACCATTGCAAAAGTTAATCAGAAGAAAGATGAATCTGAACCATTGTCTACCAAAGCTCTTCGTCTGTTAGTTGAAACTTGTTATTCACTGTTACAACCTCGTGTTTCAGAGCTGACTCTCTCTATTTGAACATAAAAAGAAAGGACAAGAAACCTATTCACGTTGAGAATGATTCAAACGCTAGTGACGTCATAAACGTTCCGATAGGCAAAGCAGATCTGTAATATTTACTTTTTCTTTCTTCCTCAATTCATCAAACTGATTATAGTGAGCGAACTCCTCCAAGCAAGCTCGTACCCTCGGGAAGAAGGAAAGGCCAGTTGAGCAAGAAATCAGCATTGGCACAAGAGAAGAAGGTTCAAATTCCACAAAAGTATGTGTAGTAGAACATTTAAATTGTTTTGTTGACGAACAGCTCTTGGCGATTGAAATGAAAACATAGCGCTTGATGACCATTTGGCTGTTTCCTCCTTTTCCGGTCAAACATTGATCTTGCTGCTCATCTTTCTGTTTTCCTCATCATTATTCATGAGAATTATTCAAAGTACCAGAACAGTTTATACTCTCCATATGTCATGTAAACCGTTTGGCTTATTCGGTTCATTGGAAAACTATGTGTTGACAGCACGTGGTTGCTCCTATCACCTCCCAAGTTCATATTAGATGCGCAACAGCAGATTACTATTTAACACACACTAGTTGGCCTAACGCTGAAGCCTAGGAGCATTAGGATCAACTCGAATTAGATATAGAGAGAACAGAGAACGAGGTTGAAGCTGTGAGTGTGTGTGTGTGTGTGTATGTGAGAACGCTATGGGGCGAACATAACCGTTCAGAACATGAGAGCAGCGATGTTCATGCTTTTTCTGTTAAGCAGCCAGGATAATTATGTTCCAAAGCATAAATTATTCAATTCGATCAATTAAAATATAAAATATCAACGTTGCCTGTAAATTGTTAATTCCTTGCATTTGGAATTAGGTTGGAAGGTTGGTTAACTAACGAATAGCCTTAGTTCCATGTTCCTGCAAATTACTCTCGTTGATTCCAAAATGCTTCCGTTTCAATATTGTTTGAAAGTTGTAGTCGATGATGAGAGTGAATTGATCAACTAAGGAGAACAACCAATCTCATTTATTTTGAAAATGAAAATGAATTCTTCATGTTGACTTCATCATATCACTGATTAACTGTCTGTACCCAAGTCCTGTGAGCTGCTTGAGGTGTGAAGATACTTTCTCTGATTAGATTCAGATCTGACGTTGAATGAAGAATGTACTTTCTGCATCCGTTTCCACCTGAACGCTTAATTGCCACTCATTCAGTGATGGTTCTAAACATGAAGCCATTGTAGACGAGCGTGCGTGAAGATCTATGAAAACGATGTTTTGACCTATTGTGATCTTTGTAGTGTTAGGAGAGTTATCGATTAGTGAAGTCTCTATGAACTGCATTCGAATCAATAGAAATCTTATAACTTTATTAAATTGTAATGATTTATTCAGGAAGAAACAATACATTTTCTAGTCGATTGCATCGTGAACCTGCCTTCCGGATGAAAGATACATGACTTAGAGAGAGGAAAAGGTTTGTTTCACTAACTGAACTATTCCTTTTCAAATATTATAATGAAACATAGTATAGGTTTAGTGTTAAGATATGGTTTTCGTCTTTTGCCTAGTATTCCCCTCTTTACCCTCTCTCTCTCTTTCCATTTCACCCTTGTACTTCATTCTTCCATCTCTCTCTCTCTATCCCTCTCTCTCTTCCTCTCAGTTGCTGTTGTTGTAGTTGATCATAAATAAGTTAACCAAAAATGGAAATATATTCATGACTGTTTATGGAACAATACTTGAATAGCTACGAAGACGAAGTATCCGAGAGGTCAAATCCATTCACGAATCTCAGATAAATCAATTGTTGAACAGACCCTTAATGTTAATAATTTAATTTCTGATGATAGTCCTTTGTTAGATCTTTGCATCTGAGCTTTTATATTGAAACACCTCATAAACTATTGCCATAAATGGCTGTCAACTACACATTTTATGTCCAGAAATCCCTTCTCTCCCAATCTACCTTCATCTCTCTTACAATTCGTTTTTTTGTGTTTTATCTCCCTCTCTCCCTCTCTCCCTCTCTACTTCTTGATCTCTTTACCTCTTCACCTTCAATACCTCATGAGAATTTTTGAAATTTGTTTTGATTTCGATGACCTCTCCTTCTCTCTACCTCTATCTTCATTTACCTCCTAATCCTCTACTTCTTCTTGATTCGTGTCGTTTTGCATTATCGTTTCAACTTTCCAAATCTGGTCATGTTGCATTCATTTATCTAACACAATTGACTTTTACTTACAAAAACGAATAATTATTAGTTATTTCTGTAATTTTAGGTTTTACCCATTTGTTTCATCAACACATGGTTCAATGAGTGTCAATTGAGCGATGAGCAGATTACGTCATCAAGAAATGTAAACGGTCAACCTGGACAACAACAAGTGTTCAGGTCAGTTCATAAAAAAAACTTTATTTTCCCTTATTTGGCAATTGTTTGATTACGATGTTCCTTTGTTTTCAAACCAACTGTTTGCTCGTAACAAGCAGATGATCAATAAGCATTTCTTGGGAGCAATTTTCACCTTTGCGCTACCATTCCTTATTTCCTTCTATTTTGCTGCTGCAAAGGAAGCTTGGGTCTGTTCACACTCTGTTATTCGGCAATTAGAAAGGATTAATAACTTTAAAATACCGTAAGCTTTGTCGGAATACAGAGATGACATAGCTTACGGTAATTTACACCTAAGACTTGGGGGCATAACAGCCGGTAGTTGCTGCAAAAGCTCTACAGAAATCGAACAAGGTCATTTTTCCATTATGAATCTTGTTGTCTTCAAGTTCATTCATCCAACAGTGCCAATGAGAATAGTGATTTGTGTAGTTTCACAAGATGATAATGCATGTCCATCCTATATAAATAAGGTTTGATAAGTCTATTGTTCAAGTGTTGGAAACAGAACGTCTGTCTGATGCCAGCGGGTGAATAGTATGGCTCGTGGCAAAAGCTAATACCACTTTTGTCACCCCTTGCCAATGATATAAGAATTTCAATATAATATTATATTCTATTGAGATTACGGTGCTTGAACAATAGATTATACATACAGCTGATGAGATAGAATGACAGGCAATGTTCATAACCTGCCCATGAGCAACACTAACAATGTCATTTCACATTCTGCATCAGCATATTGAGGATTCGACTTTTTTTTCATATTTTGATATACTAGTTAAATGACCTGAGATAGTTAAGAATGTAATTGATCCATTTGGATATGTCCTCATATGGGTGGTCTGTTCCAAATAAGATAATTCTCGCTCAACTTACGTCATCCGTAACACAGCAGGAACACCTCCAGCCGAAAATTGCCAGATTTAGTTGAATGACCTATTGAGCAAGAGAATGACTCCATCCACATACCCAACCTTACCTTCTCCTTCTCCCCCCAACCCTCCCAAATGCATTCTTAAAATATTTAAAAAGTTTATGTGACAATAATTAAGAGATGTCTTTCGTCCTTCAACTGACTAACGAGGTGACAAAATGATAAAGATTGATATCATAGCGGCCTTCACTTTCGTTAAGAAAATCTGTCAATTTCCGTCGTGTGCCGATCATCACCTTTGATTCTTCTTTTCCTCTTCCATCCCACACCCTTCATCCTATTTTCATTCATTTATATAGGAAAAGAAAACATTCCAACATGATACATACAGACTCCTTTAATATGCTTAATCTATTGGGGATTTGAAGAATACAACCGCTCAACACGTCAAGTGGTTCGAAAATGAAAGGTGAAGCGGGGGAAAGTCACGTAAGACATTCACGTAAAGTGAGATGATGAGGGGAGAAATTAGAATAATCGATTGAGCAATCGATAGAATCATAGAAATGTGAGATGATTATGCATTAGAGAGCATTTACCAATATGAGGTAGTCTTAATTATATGGTATAGTTAAGGCGTATTATTAAATAGTTATGCAATCAATTAGCTAATTTGTAGTTTGATGTAGAGCTATTAAAATTGAATGAGGATGAAGTTGGAAGTGTGCGAGAAGAAGAAGGAAGAGGAAGAGAAGTTGAATAAACTATACGATATGATAAGTCGTGTGGATCTATTTGGTTAATGAATAGTTTCTTGTGAAGAAAGTTGATTGATGTTGTCTGATTATAAAGAGATAACAACTCATTATGACAGTTCTCGCCTCCATATATGATGATCACAATATCTGTCGGCTGACACTGTCGTTGTTCCATTTTCTATTTTTCAATATTCAGGCTCATCTTTCTCTATTTTCAGATGTTTCATGACGATTCATCCACTTCTTCCAATCAACTTGTAGGAATCTTCTGGCCGTGAGTTTCTTCTCATTCTCTTTCAAACATTTCAAAGCAAACGAGGGCAACATGAGAGGAGAGTATACGTTCATTTCGAAGATTTCATAAGTTGAAAGAGCAATCTGAGAGTTAAGAGAGTGATAGGAGAAGAAGGACTGTGTGATGATGCTCTTCATGTGAATATTTTATGTGAGTGAGAATTAGAAGTAAAAACTTGTACAATAAGGAGAGAAAAGTAAAAAAACTGAGGTGGATGAGACTTCTCGACCGTCCGGCTGTCTCGGAGTTTCATTTTGGATTTGCATGTTTCTTATAAGGATCTTGGTGCCAGATTTATACACTTTACCTGCTCCCCGTCGTGCTTTCCCCTCAGGGGAGCTGCTCATCTTCGCTCCGCCCGTACAGGTCTCAGCCAATCACAGCATCTGGCCACGCCCCATTTAGACCGTTGTCTTGATGAGGGCGGAGCAGGAGGCTGGAACTCAAGCTGAGGCTACCCACTGTGACTTAATACGCGTACGGACGGTGGGGAGTCTCATCCACGGTCTGAAACTCACGTGCCCACGTTTTGCTATATCATCACTTCCAATTAGAACTCAATTCTTGCTTTAACTTTAGTACATTAATAGTCTTCCAACAGACTGTACGAAAGGAGAAGCCAATAAGATTCCATCTAAGACCCAATAAGGTGTTTGATAGTCTTCTTAAGAAGTTTCTAAGCTGGAGAACTATATTATTCCATCTAACAATATGATGCATAGTGCTTATTGCCAACCTGGGGCTACAGTTAGTACTTCCAACGGATTCATAACTCCGCCACAGACGAACACATCGGCTGATCCTCGCCAACAGCTACCGGATTGCTATGCTCCAGCTCCTATGCCTCTCCGTGGTTAGTTTCAAACTTTTTGTTTTCTTAACTCTTTTCCTCTCTCTCTCTCTTTGGTTTCAAAGAAATAATGTATTGAAGACCTTGATGATCGGGTCAAGCTGTCAAAAACAATTTTTTTGATTTTCGTTTTATTACTCTGACCTGACTCTCACGTCTTTCACTGCTTCTTCACACTTATTTATGGTGTCAACCATCTTCACAACTTCCTTTTTTTTTATTAAATTAAAGCATATAAGAGAGTTCTCTTCAGATCCTATGCAATCTTACGTAGGTGGATATGTTCCTCATGACATCTACCTTGATCATCAACAAAGGTTTTTCCATCCACAAATTCCTCCACAGCAACAGCTTTATGCTCAACTTCATCAACAGGATTACTTTGCTTGTACACGGTGAGTAGCAACATCGTTTCATGTTATTGTATTGAAATGATCCTTCTAGATCTCAAACATTACCAGTTCGCTTTATGGGCAAGATAGATGAGAACGAGCAACCACAACAGTGCTTATGGATAACAGAGGTACATCTTTCAAACATCATTTGCATCAAACAGCTTGTTCCTATTCAATTCATACCATCTTATTGTAGCATGGAAAGCCTTGTGGAATGTTCTTACGATCGATCAAAGATATCACCAACCACCTACAACAATTCCATATTGGAGTTAATGAGACAAGCTCTCATGTATGCAAATGGAAGGATTGCTCACGACATGGTGCTCCATTCAAGGTAATTATCACCAGCCTATTCTTGTTGCTAATTCTGAACTTTATTCAGGCCAAATATAAACTTGTCAACCATGTGCGTGTTCATACTGGTGATCGGCCATTCCAATGTGAACAATGTGGAAAAGTATTTGCTCGAAGCGAAAACAAGAAGATCCATGAACGAACACATACAGGTATGCATTTCATCTGTTTCAATCACGATTTCTCAAACCAAAACTATTTTGGGGGTGTGGGTGTGAGAGGTATGTAGAAGTGAGTAAGATTGAAGCTTTTCTTTCTTTTGTTGTCGAAAATAAGACAAACGATTGTTGCTGTCAGAAGATTGCTATTCCTCAAAGTATATTAGGTCGTCTTCACTAATGATCTGGCGGTCATTCAGAAGTCAGCTCGTCCTCAATAATCTTTCAAAAGATTTTCTGAACATAACGTAGAAGGTTGTCGTCGCGTGCCGATGACATTTTCTCATTTTTCTTCAATCACTTAGCTGTTTTGTGTGAAACTGATGGACAGAACAGCCCAAAAGAACAAGAAAATGTGTTGTCGACCTGGGTTCAAATGCGAAGCTTTAACTTGCCGACACAAGGAAGTTTCACACCTTCATTGGGCATTTCTTTGACTTTGTTTCGGAACATGCAGAAGACCGTTTAACCGGTCTATTATTAGAAGAATAGGTGTGAAGAGGTTGAAAGTAGAGAAAGCATATGTTAGTTTCTTTATTGAAGTTTCATATAGAAGTTGAGACGCCGATCATCTCTTCATATTCTACTACGGGATAATCTCTCTGTTATTCTTTTCTTCAATACCGTTTCTTAATTCAATAAGTTGACTCTTCATTTTTCCTCTTCTCTCTATCTCACTCTCTCTCTCTCCTTCTCTCACTTATCGCATTTTGACAGTTTGCACTCAATACTCTCAATAGATTCTTAATCCATTCCCATACCATTCATGGAATACTTCACTAGCCAGGTGCATTGACGTATCATCTTCTTTTGCCCAAGGCAGACGAAAAGCTTCTGACTAGGTCATCTCTTCATCGATAGAAGAGAATATTTGAATTGAAAAATAATAATCGATGAAACATCCTCAATTCAACCTTTCAACAATAGAAGTTACCATGATCTACATTTAGACTTTTCGAGATCAGAGCAATCCTTTTTCCAACTTTTACGACCTCAAACCTCACTTTCCACTAGTTCTATTGTCTGTCATCTTACATGTTCTTCATTCGTATGCAAAAAGACGAGTTTGCAACATCAATACTACCAGAATGAACGAGACCGTTACCGTAATCAGTCCACCATTCTATCTGTGAAAGGCTTTTCTCTTTATTTCCATCTCTCTCACTCTCTCTCACTCTCTCTCTTCATTTCTTCAAAAATAAAATGAAAAGATGAAATGGAATTTGGCGCTCTCATCATATCTTCTCTTCATCACATAATTATAGATATGAAATTATATGTAGATTGTCTTAAGACGTTGTCATTATGACTACATACGAGAGTAATTCGAGGACAATCCGTTAGGACGGTGTCTAATCATACCGTCAACAACTGTCTCTCTCTCTCTCTCTCTCTTCAATCATTTTTCCTTTTTTTCACTTAAAGCTGTCGGCATCTTATGATCTGAAGCTTAACTCCAGCATGGAAGAACATACAATACTTCCTCTTGTGATTGACAAACATCTTTTTCCTTAAAAGACACAAATGCATACAATAGCACTCATCAAGCTATCTGACTGATGTAACAAGTAGCAACAACGTGTTTAACCAAATATTTATATTCCTTCAAGTATCTTGAATGAGTTCTCTCTTCTAATTGGTAAAAGCAAAAGATGTTACCAAGTTCAGAATCAGATCTCAACACACAGATGATTACTCCGTTTTCTTGAAATTCCGCCTTCTCGCCCAATGTCTCATCTCACTTTGATCACTGAGAAAAGAACCAAAAGCTAACTTTTCACAAAAATTGTGAACAGTATTCTGTCCAGTGCAAGGTGTGTCCTTAAATGGAAAAAGCAAAAATAATTACCGAGCTCAGACGTAGATCTCTAGACATGGATGATTACTCAAAGATTAAGCACATATACTCATCACCACTCGGCCATGGGTGATACAATTTCTTACAACCGTGTGCGAATAACGAAACATCCCTTGGTTTTTGTAGTTTACTCTTTGTTCCTTCTATGTATTCCCTCTCTTGCCTTATTAGGATATGAATGGGCAGGGAATCAAAACAACTATTGACTTTCAAGTGATAGGTTAAGACACGTTGTTATAACGAGAATGAAGTAACACTTTGACTGGCAGTAGTCATAAGGCATCACTAATCTTGGTGCTTCTGTCAAGTTAAGTGGATTCACAGATTGTTTCTTACATATCCTTATATAGATATATTACATTTTGAGTGATCTCTAGTTTGTAATTGGTCATCATATGTGCACCTGCCTTCTCTCATACCTCACAATCCAGCAGACGAAAAACATTTGCCAAACTGAGACAAGCAACAGTGTGCATACTATGAATGCAAGACAATTCTATAGAGTCAGAGCATATGTCCTTTTTCTAAGACAATTAACTCCAACTCATAATTAGTTTGAATCGTCATTCAGCTTTGAAGCTCCAAAAAAGGAGATTCAAAGATTTGAAGATTCAAAGCTATTTCATCATATGCAAATGCACTGACCATCTGCATGTTTCATCCACCTCCAGGGCAGATGATGATGATGTTTGTGAATCAAAGGAATTTGTGGCACCGATGAGCTATGTGAATGAGATGAATTAATGATGTGCAGATGAGAAGGAAATCTGATTTGAAGAAATCTTTTTTATTTTTGAATCTAACATTCATTACTGTTGGCAAAAGATTTTCAAGGGGGAGAGAAGGAGAGAGGCTTTTCTATCCACAAGTCATAAACACTTTAGTAACTTGAAGGGATTTGTTAGGGTTACGGTAGAATCTGGGTCATGAACAGCAAATTACCTCATGTAAGGTATTGAAAGTGAGGCAAATGCGGCATGTGTTGTTTTGCTCCGAGCAAGTTGTGCCAGCGATGTAATTATTGCTCAAAGCATATTGAACAAGCATTTTGACACTTGACTCAAAGGTTAAGAACAAGGTTAGAATGAGACACAATGGCAGAATTGGGTTTGGGGGATTTCGTCAATGAACATAGAAATAATATAAAAATTAGTTCATTTTACTTTACTGCTAGATTCATTCAAGCTTCTCGTTACAGGTGACAAACCATTCGAATGCACATTCAAGGGATGTGGAAAGAAGTTTGCTAACTCTTCTGATCGTAAGAAGCATATGCATGTTCATACTTCCGTCAAGCAATATCCATGCAAAGTGAAAGGATGTGGAAAGGACTATACTCATCCAAGCTCTCTTAGGAAGCACCAGAAGGTAGGCAACATACATGTTTCTCTCTTATCTTAAACATCTATCTGTCTATGCTAATTGTTTTTTATCCAACTGTGAGGGATTAGCACACCTTAGTTACGTTTCAAATCTGATCATGCATATCCTTACAGTTTGAAACGATTAGCTAGAGTTGTAATTGGCAGATCACTCACCTGTCATCTCATGTTAATCCTCAGCTTAGCAAAGCTGTAGATGAGTTGATATGTGTTGATATCTGATCAAAAACTTCTTTTCTGGTTTTTCTTACATGCAAAGAAATATTTTTGCAAACAAACACATTGAAACCAGAAATTATTTTCTCTTTTCCTTCGACTGAGTTTCAGTCATTCTCCTCCTCCACCTCTACCGTAATCAGTTTCACAGATGAAATTGAATGAAAGAGAAAGAGCGAGAGATAGGGAAATAATATAATAGAAGAGAAGATACCAAATCAAAACCATAGCCGGTTTTTTCTTGAATCAAAGCCGCCAAAGAAGAACATGAACTGTTTCCCGGCTTGACCATTAAAAAACTTTCTTGAAAGGGGGATCCTTCTTAAACTCATACACTCGTAACCTCATTACTCCTTCAAATTCAAATATGATCAAAGAATTGACGTTTCAAATACTAAATATCTTTTCTTTCAGACACATGAGAAGAATTCGTGTACTTCACCAGAATTAGATCAAAGTGGAGATTCTGGACATGCCTCGGCTGGTACTCCAAGTGATGACTTCAATCTTTCTCACAAAGTAGATGACATGGAGTTACCATCTATTGCTACATCTCAAGTCCTTCCACCATACTACTCTCATGGCCACTCACCTTATCTTATGAACTCTCATCCAGGAATGATCCATCCGGACATGTATCCCCGTTTCGTCTAGAAAAACATCTCTGACTAGTTTTTGTTTTTAAAAAAGAAATTATGAAGAAGAACTATGATTCTTCTAGATTCCTTATAGATTTCTATTCGTTCATCGGCTGGCATATGTGTCTCTCATTCGTCTAGTTCATCCTATAGCTTGTTCATTTCTATAACATTTATAGTTTATAGTATCATATACTGAGTTGTACTAACAAACACTCACTAGTATCAAACTGCCTTTCATTCATCTCCCATACAATCCCCCCTCCCTCCTATCCGCTCTCTCCCTCTACTATCTATCTACTCCCTGCTTCATCCTCACACTAACAGGTTATCAATCTTGTAATTATATTCAATCTGTACTTGTATTTAGCTCTTGGCTTTTCCTCCAACAAATTCCTTCTAATATAGGTAAAGCCAAAAGCTGACCTATCCATATGCTCAAGGCTGTTTGCAGTGTATAATTTGTTCTCTTTTCAATCTCCTTCCAGACTTCGGGTAATTACAGTTAATAGCCTTTTGTTACTTGACTTCCGTTATAATGTTTGAAAAAGCTTCCGTTAGATGACAATTAACACGATTTTCTTAAATAAATGACAAAAAAAGGAAAAGAAAATAGATTTTCTTGTAACTTGTAACACACACACACACACACACACACACACATCACCTTCATCCTAACCAAGTTGTAGTTGAGTTAGTCTAACAATCGATATCCTTTACTCTATCCAGCTCTTCATCAAACCTCCTTATCTTCATGCATGTCTTACCTCACAGAGAAATTCCATGACAGTTGTATATTGAAAATGAAAAAATAAAATATTGCAAACTACTTGTGTTGTTGTTGTTGTTCTATCTACTGCCGATGTCTATCATCTCCATGTAGAGATTGCATGACAGTAGCGGCTTATCTTTACATATGAAACAAGATGACCAATTATCTTTTCCTTTACTATTTTCATACAGTTTGTATTGTAATGAACAGAAAGCTGTACAACATAAGCCAATTAGACAGCTCAATAGATGCTCTCATCATCCTAACATGACGTCATATCATGCGCAACAAAGGTAACTTCATTTACAGACGGCGAATATCAAATATTGGTCGCTAAAAAACAAAAAAAATGAAAGAAATTACTATTTGTTATATTTATATAAACAATGTCCTTTTAAGATATTTATCAACACTTATACTGTTTGACAGATCGCTCCATATATGGACATACACACATACACATCCACATACAATTACATAATGAGAGATGATGATGGTGTTGATGGCTTGCACAAGAAATCAAACATGAACTTTCTATTCCAAAGATGATCATGAATGATCATGATCATTCACGTCATTATCATTAGGATCACGAGCTTTCAACGAACATCACGTGAACTTTACGTGTACAATGATTACTCGCATACTGTCAATGTTCATTTGTTGTCCGCAAATACGTAGTGAACGGTTGATTATGGTTTGTATGTGTCTGTCCGTTCGAACGCATTAGCGACAAAAGCTATGCCGGTTAAAAAACAAATTACTTTTAATGTCCTAATCAATGAATTTGTTTTAGAATTTCGAATTGTTTAACACATTTTATTATTTTTTTAATTGAAATGACCTTAATTTCAAAATTATTTATTCGGAAATGTTTGTGTCATCTCTCAGGTGATTTGTCCAATCTACAACATACACGACGTGTGCATGTCACATCGCCTTCTTTGAAGTTACATGTCTGATGTGTGATAAATGGAAATAAATTCGAATTTTCTTAAACAAGAAAAAACGAAAAATATTGAATTCGAAATTCAATGTGTATTCCCTTAGTTCACGAATGATGTGATAGGCTTTGACAAACTCATGACTCTCTCATGACTCTTCTTCGACTGTCGCTCTCGAATGATCACTCAGATCAGAGAAGTAGCATGAAGATACTGATTATTTGAGTCTCGTCATCTGTCCAAAATTCGATTTTTGTGGCAAATTTCGTTTCCTCTCCTTTCCCAGACTAATTTCTCATGAAGCGGTCATTCACATCATTCAAACTTCCTTTTTTTGTAGAAAAAGAAATATGTTCTTAAATGTTTCTAATGATAAATTGTAAAATCGACAACAACGACAACATGTTTTCTTGATTGGGGCTGAGCGGGAAAAAAAACTTTTTTTTCTCCACCACCTTACAAGGGAGTAAACTGTGGCCATTTCATGTGTCACTTGTTTGCTGTTGCAGTTATCTTAACTTCCTCCATTCCCCTTCTAGTAGTGTATTACTAATGAAGTATATATAGATAGAGAGAGAGAGAATGGAGAGAGAGGGAGTGGACAGAGAGGGAGAGAGAGAAGGTTGTCTTCAGTCAGTAGAGGTGAAACAACGGATGTGATAAGGGAACATGCATTAATGACCTTTATAATGAATATAAAAAAACGAAAGAATTTATTAAATATGGAGCGTTTATCATGATCTTTCTGTACTTCTGATGTTACAACTCTCAATGAAAACTAACGGGGCAGTGTTCAAACAAACTGATTTTACGATCAAGGACGAGAGAGGGAGAGAGAGAGAGAGACTGAGTAAGGCTAATTAGAATAGCGAATGATTAGTTAATGAACGACGGAATCACAAAATTCCTTTTTATGTTTTAAATTGATGTTCAAAGATGCATTTGATCATCTATTTTTACTATTATCATCCTGATTATCCGTGTGAAGCAACTATGAAGTCGCCTAGGAACAGTCGAATATGGGCGGAGAACTGTAGGTTTCACTCTTCAGATCGTCCAGATGTCTGTTTGTCTGATGACTCCATTAAAACAATACACTTTCCAATCATATTCGTCTTTTCTCGACGACAACTGAAGGCCTGATCCCTTTTGTCAGTTCAATCGACGTCGTCGTTGTCATCGTCGTCTCTTTACGCACTTTTCAGTACTCAACTCATACGGGAGTGCTAAAAAGGGTTGCTGCTTTACATTCAAGTAACAAACAGTTGTAATCATTATGTATTAGTAATATTATCATTTGACAGAATTGTATGGAAACGATGCATCGCCTCTTCGTGATTGCTGCTACGCTTCTGCCAGTCATATTCGCACAAGAGCATGCCGAAGTAGATATTCGAGTGTCAGGAGCTTGTTCACCTAGTAAGTCATTCTTTATATAACTGTTGCTGTGTAGTGTTGATGTACAAAATGTATTTCAATCCCCCTCTCTTTCTCTAACTTACTCTTCTTCCCTCTCTCTCTCTCTACCTCCCTGACTCTCTCTCTATCACTCTCTATCACTCTTGTCAATCCATCAATACTCTTCGCATCCATCGATTGTTGTTGTTAATTGAGGAAAAAGATATTTTGGATGCAAAAGTTCAAAAGTCACAATAACATCTTGAAAAGGTGTTGATATTTCTGTAAATCGTGTTTCCATACAAAACATCATTTTGTGATTGAAAGTATCCCAACACAACACAACTCTCAAACTGGCTTTATCATCCAAAAATAACTTGTTATAAAGTCTCTAAACAGACATACTTGTCAATCTAACTTAAAGAAACTTCCGTTTCTGAGAACATATGAACGAATGAAGATGATCTCATCATCATCAGACATCTACCATAGTCATCAGTTCATCTTTGAGTTTCCTTTTCTCATCCCCCCCCCTAACATGTCATTCCTTAAAAAGGAATGAACATTGTATGTTTTATGATATTTAATCAATATCTAGGTTGGATTGAAGGAGTGGGGCAGAGAGAGGGGTTGGTGGGGGGGAACATCTACTGTTTCTTGATTGAATGCGGTCAGTGGATTGATAGAAAGACGAGAAAAGGGAATGTGAATAAAGGAGTGAAGTTAGGAGAGAAGATGTGATAACCAAAGGGGTTAATCAAGATCCTCTTCTTCATCTTCTCTCCTTCGTCTTCATCATCATCTTCATCACTATGATTATCGGGAGATTGTGTATTCGTGTATGTGTGTGTGTGTGTTTGATTTCCTAAACCAAAAAAATGTGGAAAGCCTTCAAAGATAGTTCGAGAGAATACCCTTAACCCTTCTCTTCTTCTTCTTCTTCTTCGTCTTCTTCTCTTCTGGAGTTTATAAATCCAAATCCAACTGCATAATCAGACAGTCAGCTAGTTTTCTATCCGCCCCGGGGAAACATCGAAAGTCCACAACTTTCCTTTTTTAGTTTTTCTCTTTTGAATTGAAAAAAAATATTTTATTTATCTGTTATTGCTAGAATCTGTGGAAAGAAAGAGAAACTTGAAAAACGATAAAACACCAGTCGAATTCTTATTTTTTCAGTTTATCTTACAAGAAAGGGAATCGATGTATCCAAGTATCGTCCATCCATACGCTTCAATCCTGACAAAATCCAGTTGATACCGAAGAATCCATTGATTCCGGGATGTATAAAGATCAAAGCTGAAGGTAAGTAGTAGAAGCTTCTCGATGGATTCATTCATACCATCATTGTAGGTGTCATGATTGAGAGACCGATCAAGAATCTCGTAGCTGAGATTGAAATGCGAATCGGTGGAACTCCAGATCCAAACAATCCAACCTTACCTTGCAATAAGAAAATCGATGATAAGGTTAATCAATGCCCATGTGCAAAACTAGAAGGAACTTGGTAAACACTCTTAGTCAATCCAACTTGATCGTTTCTGTTGTTTTACAGTGTTTTCTGTGATTTCTGTAAACAACTCAAGTCTCAGACAGCCAGAATTTCCGCAACGAAATCCCGAGTACCCGGTCATCACAAGTCCATCGACGATGATTGCAAGTAAGTGATAGAGTTCATCAGTATTTGAAGTGCTGATGTGGAATTCTATCTATTGCCACTATGATTCAGATGTGACGAGATGCAGCCTGGTCCATATGACATTGAGACTGAGATGTGCACTCCAGAAATAGACGACATTAAAGATTACATTCCACCCGAAATTCAAGCTAACATTTTAGACAAAAAGCCGGTAAAGGAGGTTTTCGTAAAGAACAGCTAACCAGATAGTTCAGATCTCAATGTTCATTACTGTGTATCTCATGGATATGGAACCACGATCTTCTAAAGAATCTTATCTCTCTGCATTCGGAAGGGCTATTCTTCAACGAAGGTATGTCATATCCATCCTGTTTGTATCATCATCTGACTCTGTTGTAGGATGGCTCAAAGCACTGTTGCTTGTTTCTTGCTTGGAATTGACGTCAAACTCAATCTTCCCCAGTTCAATTAGTTCCATTATTCAAATTGTAAATACATCTTTAACATTGAAGTGAACCAAACAAACGTAATAAAAATGGGTCCAACATGATCGCCAGCAATATTCCAGAAAAGTTTTCTCTTCTCTTCCCTCACTCAAACAATGTTTAAATTAAAAAGCTAATAAATGAAGCCATTCGAAACTGTTCTTGTTGCTCATTCCGAATCTCATTTGGACTAGTCAAACTCTCACAGAATTGATAACTCTGTTGTGCTACGAAATACCATCTAGGAAAAATCCTCTTTATGAAAATTAAGATCTAATTATGAACTAAGCATACTTGTGTTTATACATTTTCGAATCAGCTTTCGAAGCTCTCTTCAACGACGGTACGCGCTTTGGGTTTCGTTCATGAAAAAAAAGATGCAATTTTATAAATCTTTTCTAGAAAAGTCGGAATGTCATCCCGTACGTTGTACGGCACACAATTTCGTCTAGGCGTGGATGACAATGTCTTTAATTCTTACGAGATATGTGTAATTACAAAATAAAATTTGATTATTTTTTTTAATTTCACTGTTGTTTCAAATGGTTTCTCATTGACTTCTTTCCATGTTTATCCATTTCCTCAGATTAATTTCAAAATTCAACTACCTATTCTCATCTTTTTTCTTTAAAAAAATTGAACTTTCGTATGTGTTTCTTCAATTGCGCCATCTGGTTCTCTTAGTTGTCTTCCACGTTCTTCACATCCCTGATGACTAGCTGAGTGATCTGATAGTGTGTTTTGACCAAAAGGTCAAAGCGAAACATAAACTTACTAACCCCGCCCCTTTTTTAATGTTAACCTAATAACAACATGTTTTGATACAGGG